GCTACTGAAAGGTAAGTCAGCATTTGGTAGCTGGATTTGGGATTAATGATACTTCCTACTAGCAAATCGACAAGCGCAATGGATTGTTCAACAAATCATGCCATTCGATGCCATATATGCCAGTTATAGTTTGAAAGCAGAGTTAAATGTTTTCACCATTGTCCATTTATTGCGTTTAATGTAGGCATTCGCGTGCAAGTCTCTGCGAAAGCCGCACCTAAGGTAAACACAGTTGTTCGAGAACATTGTTATTTGGTTCAAGATTTCTCCGCTTGAGGCTCTGCGCAAGACAATTTCGTTTGCCTATATACTTTGTGTAATCTTCTAGAGTTGAGAGTCAAAGCTATTTTAAGAAATTGGCTTACTAGAGAAAAATTGTAACATAATTGCAAGAAAAAACCATCTTCTCTCTGTTTCTTTAAGTCAATAGTTTTAATATTTCGACTTCGGAGGACACCATAAGTAACTATAGAATAATGGGTAACTAAGTAACTAAGTGAGTAATAGTAGAAGCGTTAGCTAAATGTAAATATAAAAAAATGCTTCTACTTTTGACCTAATATTAAAACTTTAAAGCATTTTAGGTTACCTTTTAATCTATCAAAAATAACAAAATGCCTTTAGCTAAATCGAGAATTGTCGGGCTGTAAGGGAGCACCACGATTAACTGAAATAATGTTTAGTTCATTTTAGGTTATACTCTTAAGGATATTTTATTGTTCACGATTCCTTTGAGAGAATACACATGCATGTCTTTGCACGCATACATACATATGTAATCTGTCATAAACGCATATACGTGAAGTGTTTTTTTTATTTTTTGAGGATAAATACTTGTGTCAACATAATTGTGACAATTGTTTTCTTTAGGTTCTTCTTAACAATCGCTTAAGTTACTACCGCGTTAAGTTAGAAGGACACACACGTTGTTTGATGTTTATTGCCTCTACGTATATATGTGTGTGTGTGTGTTATATGTATGCAATAAAACTGTCAAAATGACATTTTTCATATTCTCCGCCTTAAGGAAAATTCAACGCGGTAAAGTTAAGCACTAAGAAGCGGCGGTAACCTTTCACAGGAAATGTGTCAAAGCACTTGAAAGAAGATTTAAAACAATCACTGAAAAAAGTGTCAAATTGCAGCAATTACAATGTCACGCAACATACGCACACATATACATGTTTCATTATAAACTCTTACCCTCTTCTAATCCACTTGTATGAAATTTTTGACAATTTTTGTGTTAAGAAAGCAAAAGCGCTTAAGCTTCGAACATAGGTTGGCATTAAGCTAATTAGGGGTTGAAGAGGTTTCTATAGATTTACGTGTAATCCTTAGCTAATGAATTTGATTTGTGCCAAATCTGTAACATCGACATGGATTATTTTGCCATTAAAATTTTTCTGAAAAATTTCAAAATTTTTTTCCGCTAGAAGTGAGCGGAAGAATTTTTGAGGCAAAAAAAAATTAATTAAAATCTCTTTTACAATTTTCCAAATCGAAACTATTGTCATCTGTTAAGTCTTGGGATCAATTCAATTGACTTTACCATTTACGCTTTATCTAAATAACATGCGTACAACGTAATGTCTGCTCGAGAATGTTTTGCAATTTTTTGTTATGGCCGCTTCCGTTCAAGGCAACCATTATAGTTTGATGTACCACCTCCCTGCGAACAGAAAACTATAAAGTCTTACATACATTTATGATCGCAAATAGGATATTCACGTATGTGTTACAGCTTGATGCATGAAAACATAAATAAATACATATCTGTAAATGTATATACTTTGTGTGATATGGAAAGAACAGTGAGACTGATTCATAGCGACCGCTCAGAAAGGGGTTTAGCTTCCCTCTTGCTTCGGCCATAAGCCCAACAACACGCAATACCTTTGTTATCTTCGTTTCATTTTGCGTGTATAAGGTGACAATTTTATATAATAGTAACATGCATTATACGTATTGGTAGCATACATGGGCAGATATGCTTAGTGCAGCAATTTCTGTGTGCCTTTAGTTTCAGTGCACAAAGTTTATGTGCAGTGTGTGTTTGCGTGTAAGCAATACGTTATTATTGGAATGCATGTATGTAATTATTCAAAATATCCGTATCTGACTATTATTTACTTGTGGTTGCTATATTTTTTAACCACAAACTAACAAACAAACGCATAGAGGCATTTATATATTGTTTCTACATGCATTCGCACTTGCATACGTTTCAGGGATAACGTTAGAAGTGGGCGTTGTGTCAATTGCTTAGATAATTGTTGGTTGGTCTGTTGGTGTTTGTTATTCTTTTGAGATAACTACTTTATTGAGCTAAAATACAAAAATACAAATATTATTTCGGCGGAAGCAAAATGTAGATGTTTCTCTCGCTATAGTCCTTCAGATATTTATCAAATGTAACATGTCGGTCAATAAGTTCCAGTAACGTTTTTTCACGACAGCTGTAAAATCAATCGAATGCTTTCTAACATTTCGTTGAGACCCTTAACATTTTCAAATATAAGGGACTTTTTGTTAGGGATGGCATCCATGTGTCAGCCTGGGGAAATTATTGACCAATGTCTTTGATGGTGGAACGTAAAGAGAAGAGAGGGAGAGGGAGAAAGACACAACATAAGGGAAGAAAAGATTACCGAAATTTCTAAATAATTTTTCTTTATGCAACTTTTACAATAATCAACAACAAAAAAGTTCTATCAAGTGGAGCGAGTATGGTTCGAAATTGAATTGTCGGGCGAGCCGCCAATCAAATGTCCGCCATTAATGACTTGTAAAAATTTAAACAGCAACACGCTTGCAAGTAGGTGGTGCGTAACGAAATTTCGTCACAGCGGCGATTATACTTCTCAGACTATTTGATTATGACTTTTCGGAGGTAAACGTTGTGAGGTGAACAGCTCTTCTGATCCGAAGAAACTGAAAAGTAATGAAAAGTTTTCGGAGTCTTCGTTCTGAAACAAGTCACTTATCAAATGCATAATGAAATTCAGGAAACTCCTTCATATGATCGCCAATAGCCTTGGGATCCCGGAAAAACCTCAAGGCAGCACATAGCTGCCTTGAAATAGAAGAAAATCTAAAAGGTACGGTTTCTTTTTTATTCTATTACTATAAAGAGAATCAGATAACGTGGTGGAGGAAAAGGAACATTTATATAGCGTCCACAAACAACTACTTCTAAGTCAACATAAAAATAAAGTTAAGATTTATATATAATCGAAATCTCCATCAGCTTCAGAACTATTGTTCACGTGTTTTGAAAAGATTTTATGGGGTACGTAGGAGTAAATATTATGAAAGCGTAACCCATATATTGTGCATTACTTTAATAAAACTTCTCATCGACTTTTGCTATGATATGAATCATTACTTAAGCATCATATTTTGCAACATTATTCTACTACAAATTCCACGTTAACATTTTTCCACTTTAATTAAACTAAAAATATATGTTATTAAATTTAATCATAATTAATTTAAAAAAAATCAATTCAATTATTATTTTTTTGAAGTTCTCATAAAACAGATTTCCTCCTCCTTTAAAGGATTTAAAATTACTTGCGCAAACACACACAAGTAAAAGAAAATTTAAGGAACGTGTTGGAATTTTAGTGAAACATTTTCTCTTTCACTCCTCATACGAAACAAATATATGCAATACTGTTATATGGCAGTGTATACATATGCATTTACGAAACCACATCTAAAACCGTTTGCACTTCATAAATGTAAATTTGGAAACAAAAAACAAACAAACAGAAATATGTACGAAAAAAAAAACAGAAACCAGAAGAAAATTTTAATATCACAATACGCATACATCTATCTATGTGCATAAGCGCACGCAAATAGCGGCAATAGCACGCACACGCATCACTCAATAAGTGTGAAGAGGAAACGAATAGTGACGACATTTTTAATTGTAAATGAATTGTGACAACAACAATAGCACCAACAACAACTGCTGCAACTATGTGAGTAGTAACTAGGAGTTTATGAAAAAGTTGTTGAGTCGTTAAACATAAAATATACACACACACAAACGCACTCACACGCGCTCCCAATCCTACAAAAAAACAAACCACCCCTTCATAGCTATGAGTACGGCCCATTCTCTATCTTGAAAAATGTACATATATATATATATATATAGAGAAAGAGAGAGAGAGAAAGAGAGAGAGAGAAAAAGTTTGAAATGAGAAAAAGAAAAGCGCACATAATAGTGTCGAAAGGCGGCCATCTCACTCTAAGCTTACAGTTCAAACTGAATGGAAATTTGCAGAGAATTTCCAATTGGAATATTTACATATGAGTACAAAATTTGAGCGTTTCTTTGCATAACACATCGCTTTTTCTCTTTTTCCAACTACATAGATTATCCATTTCATTTGCTCTGGTGAAAAACTCTATCAAAGTGTTACTATAGAGCTGTCCCTTTTCAACTAAACGTGAACACTCTATACATTATATTTTTGCTTTTCAGATAGATTTACCATAATATAATGTTTTTTTTTCTTGCTTTGGCAGCAACTATTTTTGTTGTTGTTGTTGTTCTTAACTAACTCACACCCCTTACTCTGCAGCATAAGTAATAAAAACAACAACAAATGCCGACTGGTTTTTCATGAGTCTTAGCCACTGCTGCTAAACACTGACAGGTTTTACCGACCTTTCAGTTTGTCTACAGTTGTCTTACGTGTAACACATATGAAGTGCTGAGAGTCTTTATGTGAGCAAGAGTTTTGTGAGAAGAAAAAAAAAGCAAAACAAAAAAAAAAGTTTAGAAAAAAGCCATTATATGTTTCTCTTCTTAAGCCATTATATTAACGAAAGCGCTTGTGTTCGAAATCAAAACCAACGACAATAATGAGAAATTCGCACCTAACAAAAAGGTGAAACTATTATTTAATTAAATTATAAGGAAAATAAAAAAATTGGAAAAAAATATGTAAGAAGTGAAGGAGATTAAAATTTCAAAAAAAAGGAATAAAAAAAATTTTTAAAAAGTGCTTAACTGAATATATAATTTAATTAAAAATTTTAAATATAAAATGCTTATCGGTTCACATCCCTATCTGTGTAACGGTGCAGGTGTTATAACGTCACTTCCCGTAGCCAATGGTAGCAGTCAAAATGTTTTGCCTGCCACCACTACCGCAGTAACAACACCAACAGCAAATAACAAAAATGCCGCCGGCTCCGCCACTGATTTCTCTATAGCCGCAATTATGGCACGGGAAGATGCTTCTAGCCGCGAATCTTCATTACGTAGCGCAAGTAAGTAAAATCCATCCAACGAACCGTTAGAAAATATATATGACAAGGACTTTAAGAAAAATGTATATTGAAGTATGCGATAGAGTTAATAGCAAATGGCATAACCGCATCACAAGTCAGCATTAGTTTTAGAGAGTGTTTCGTAGTAAAGGCGGCTAGTTACCAAAGCGGTAAACGATATGTAATGTATTTTCCATAAATTAATTCTTTTAGTTGCAACGACAGCAAAACACGTATCAGAATTCAGATGGAAGCAGATATTGATTGCAGCCTAAAGCTTCAATTTTGTGTTCTCCGACGCTTTCGTTATTCTTTCTTTAGTGAAAGAATCCTATATGAAAATTGCTTAAAGCATAGACTGCGAATTATAACAAATGTAATGAAAACATTTAAGCATGCAATGATTTAATGCATTAGGTGAGAATGTCCGGATAATTCGTATGAAACCAATGTCAAGAATCTTAATACAAGTGCCTAACCTGTCATAAACTTTATTCAATGTTTGCGTTCAGTGACGCTTTCTAAGAAATGTGAGCCTTTAAAGATCCAAGGTTTACATGCACTTCATGTGTTTATGTCTCACAATTTAACTCTTACGTAATTTGCATCAATCTGTAAAGACATTAATAGCGTTTAGTGTTGATATCATTCAATGTGAACGTGATCCGTTACTTATCCGAGCGATATTATCTTTATTTCAGTAGCCAGTAGCTTAAAACCAGTTGTCAGCTTTATATCGCTCTCTATATGTCATTAACGGTCATTAACTTTTGATCTGAGATCAATAGATTTTTTTTCTAGTTTCCATTTCTTTAATAACACAATAATAACAATGAAACGAAATTGATCCAAAGTATTCATTTTTTTTCTTTGTTTTTGTGCTCTATTGGCATGCAAATCGTGCGTTTTGTTATATGTATTGTATTTGCATTAAAAGAGCATTAATCATTATCATCATCAACACCTTAGTTTATGCAATTAGGGAAATTATTGCAGATATGAAAATTTTATTTAGCCATAGCAATTTTTTCTATTTAAATAATTGAAAGATATGTCTTTTAAGATAATTTAATATCTCCGGCAATTATATGGGTTTGATAGATGAAGCCAATTATTTGATGTGAAAAAACGAAACGATGATGGAAACCAACATTTAGTTAGTTAGATGATTATTATTATTGGGTCAATTTTCTTTGAAATTATTGATAGTCAGTCGCATATAATTAATTCTCTTTTTCCTTTAAACTTTGTTTCACTTCACTTTCACTTTCACATTGATAATGTAATGTGTGCTTGCCTACCGAAAGGCCCCATTTCCATTGAGGATGAAGTTGATGTCGATGTAGTTGATTGCAGCGACTCAGAAGAGCCTCCAAGCAAGACGAGACGTACAAATGTCACCAGCAATTGCTTGACAAGTACGACTCCTACTCAACTAAATAATACTCGGAAAAGCAGTAATAGTAGTGCCGGTCGCACAACACCGCCACGATCACCCAGCAGCGATACGGAAGGTGAACGCTTATCACCGGAACCCGCTCCGAAAGCACCGAAAATTGTAGGCTCCTGCAATTGTGATGACCTGAAACCCGTACAATGCCATTTAGAGACAAAAGAGTTATGGGATCGTTTTCATGAGCTAGGAACAGAAATGATTATCACCAAGACTGGAAGGTAAGTGATAATTAACCGATCTGCATATCTATCTATCTATCTATCTATCTACCTATCTCTAGCTCTAACCCTTTCTCTGGTAATAAGTGATTTCCAAGAGATAAATAAGTGTAGAAAAACGTTGCCCTCCTTATTAGAACTATTGCACGACTTTCAAGCAAATATTTTTATGAGTTTCCACTCTTCCGCGCAAACTTCCCACATCATGTCCCCACTGCTATGTTGGCTTATTCATAGTAAGCATTTTCGTAAAACATCCCAAATCTTATACGTGCAAGCTTTTCTCATTCCATCCTACTTTAACCTACATCTTAATCCACATTTATTTTAAACAAACGAATTCTGCATTATTAGGATAGTTGATGTGACTTTAAGCAAGAATTTCTCTGATTTGTAGACCAACCATTGTACATATGTATTAAGTCTTTGATCATCATATCATCCCAGCCCATTTTTGTTTAAACGCTGGAGCAAATGTAGTGCCGTTCAAGCGAGGAGTTTGATGAGACTTTCAAGGTTTTTAGAATTTGTAGACCAACCGCTGCGAACTTTCCTTTCGTTAAACGGTTAACTTTTTCATTGCAAGAGCAGTTGTAATATTTTTTATGCGAGGATTTTATAATTCTTGTGACAGAGGAATCAATCAATTTTCAACATAAGTGGACAGTGAAATTTTAAATTAATCTTTGTGTTAAGGATGTAAGACAACCTCTCTCTCTGTCCCTTTCTCCCTTTCTGCTGAGAAAAAGCGTTTGATTTGTTAGTAATAGTATTCCAACTGCACTGTACTAACTGTCGGCAGTTCCTAGCTTGCCCAGTATATAACTCAGAAATTTACTGGTAATGTTCCGTTCATGTTGATCATAAAATTTGGCGGCTTGATATCAATACCTCTTCAGAAACGACTTTCTCTCGCATGGTATTTCATATCATGTACTCTTTATAGGTCACTATTTTGATGTGAATGAGTTAACATAATTTGATGATATGTTATTACATCCATAGAAAAGTTATAACTATCTAGATATAATGATGCTTTTGAACTTGTCCAAGATCCTATTGGAACGTTATTGATAACGTCTGATTGATTGTAGTCTGTTGCCTTCGATGCTGCTTCTTGCTTAAAGTGGGAACATCAGCGAGAGACCTCCACCACAAGTTATGTGTCAACGATACGTCCACTCGGGGAACTTCAAATTTTCATATTTTGTGTGAATATCGAAATTTGTATTGCTAAGTTAGTTGAGTTAGTTTCTAGAATAATTTCGGAATGCAGCACATTCTTTGCAAGTCTTTCGAAGCATAGAGACAAACTTCTAGCAAATGTTTTTCATGCCATCTACGACTTCTTCCGAAATGACACAAACGCAGTTGTTGTATCCGGTACACTAAGTATATCTCGGAAAGAGAATACAGTTCGATCGAAGCAAGCAAAAGGCCTTGTGCTAAACTATACAACATTGTGAATATGGTTTTTCGGTGACAAACCAATTTTCAGCTTTTAAGCAATGCTTCAGTTTATTTTTCAATTCAATTTAATCACGGAGTCCCATTGAAAGTAGTAAGCTATTTTCGTTTCTCTTTAGAGCCACAATAATGTTTTGAGCGGACGCTTTTTTCTAGATCAATGGCCTCCAAATGTAAATCCTTAAGATTGAATTTTACTGAGTCCAAACGATATACTCGAGATAGTCTTGGGAGTTTTAACGGTAGCTAGAAGTCGGGAAGAACTGACGCTGGCGAATAAGACGGTTGAGGAACGATATGAGTTGAATTTGTGATGAAAAAAACTCGAAAAAGAACTTAACATTGTGGCAATAGTTTCCCGAACATAATCTTAGCGAATAATTTCAGGCGAATGGTGCATAGCGCCCAAACAATAATCCTTCTTAGCTCCTCGACAACACAAAGGTATTTCATAGGGCAGCACAGCATTGATTAATTAAGGAAAATTTGGTTTTGTTATCTTTTGATCACCTTGCCGTAAGAAGAGGATATAAACAACGAAAATCTGACCCACATATAAAAAAAATTGTTGTTTTAGATGAAAAAGCTACAAAAATTGCAATGTCAGATGGAAAACGAATTGGAAGGAGAAAAAAAAACAAATAAGGAAACAATCCTAATATCTCAGGAATGAGTCCTTATTTTTTTCATAACACAAATTCCTGTTCCTATTAGCAGCACAAAACATTCCCAAAGTCTGACCGAATAGAGATACTAAAAGCAATGTGGATTTAAAGCCAATTGTGTTGACTTAAGTAAGATTTGGAGATTGTCATCCTAGAGCACACATGCGGACAGCCGGACAGAGAATTTAATTCTGTCGCTTATGATGATCACAAAGTTATATAGCATCGTAACTATTTGAAGAGTTTATTACTGCTGTCTATGTTGGACATAAAATTACATACAAGCAGTGCGTATGCCTGTGTGCTTTCCGGATATATATTCATTCATTCATTCAGTTCATTTTATAATAACAGGCACATTTCCAGGCGGGTCCCTTAAGTCTTGCAAGCCAAACAGACGAGAATGCCTTTCGACTTTCTGTGCGATGTTGTCCAGAATATAAATATTAATTGCGCCGACATAAGCACCCAATTCGTGTAAACTATGCAAAGTAGTCCTTGTGCCGATGTTCGACAAACAACGCCTCGTTTTTTCGCGAAGCAATTACTTTTCATAAAATTTAGTCGGCAATCAGCAAATGACTTATTAATAAAATTGTGTTTAGAAATGAAGCATCTGAAGCATGGCTTGTGGGATTTTTGCTCATTGGGCATGCCAAAATACGCTTTTCCGTGAAACCCAGAATGATTCAGCAAGCAGGAAAATCTCCATCAAGGGTCCATGTTAAGTCTTGCACAACTGAATCGTAGCGGTGTGCAATGATAGCATAGCATAACTAAAAATCTTCAATTTATCAATGATCCTTCAACGTATTAAGCTATTGGAAAAGAAAAACGAGCTTATCGCTCCTGCTTACGATACAGTATCCTCTTCCGAATTGATTTAAGCTTGTATGTCCTTCTGTCCTTCTATGTATTTCCATGTACAGATCGCAAATAACAAAATATTTTGGTAAAATTTTGTGCACTTATATGTTTTGAACCAAAGATTAGCCCTATTAAAAATTATTCTAATCCGATCGTTCCTACGATCAATTTCCGTGTAACACCGTAAATTGAACAACTCGTTTGCAGAGTGACAAGAGGAATTTCCTGATCACGATAATATTTTGCCTTTTTTCTATTTTGGTGTGAAACATTTGCTTTCTAAGGTGCACGTGCTATTCTCAAAAATGTTCAACTTCAAGTGTATATTGGGTAAAGCGAGAGTAACTCTCTTCTCGATTCTAATTAGTTCAAAATTAAATCATTTAAAAAGTTTTTACCTTTTGAGATTCCATGAGAGTTCGATCGTACTAATTCTTTACGATACTCATACCGCATGATATGGTTGCAATGCTCTGCCTTTCATTTTATTTACCCTATATGTACTTTGTGTGAAGATATCCTGCCGTTTCAAATGTCATTACAATAGATAAACCCTAATGACATAATATCACTTATCAACATAGGCATAAGTTTTAATGGCCCGGGACCGCCCTGACTGTTTCAGGTGATTTTTTTTTTTTTTTGTTTTTGTTTTTTTTGTTAATCCATCCATTGAAATTAAAGCATTTTTATTATGTCCACACTGTTCTAACCATAGATATAAAAAATTATTTATGTAGTATGATAGGAGTGCTGTGATTTAAAAAGGTGTTGGTCGCTTTTCAAAATGCACACACACACAAACACACACGCAAAAAAATTGTTAAGCAATGGCACAAGGTGAATAGGGCGTATGTATGTGTGTGGCCTTTTACTAAATCATTGAAACACATGTTGTTTTGTTTTCAATTTTAGAAGACTTCCTGCCGCGAGAATTTAGTTAGATTTTGAAAGAAAAATTACAACAATAACAATAATAACAGCAATTGCAATAAAATCCTGTGTGCGTTCATTATAAGGCGTTTGTTGACAAGCAATACGCCTTTCTTTGGCCAATAATGAATGCGTTACCGATGTTTGTATAAAAACAAACTATTTTATATATATATATATATATATTTTTTTTTTTTCTGAATATTTTTGTAAGAGTTCTCATATATGTAGATAAATATACATCCAGACCTCACACCAATATTCTTAGAAGCAAAAAAATAAAAAGTATATATTACAAAAAGCAAGTTTTAAACAAAAGGATTAAAGGAATATGTGTGCGATTATTTATGAAATGAAATGAAATGAGAGCACAAGCATGCATGCATGCAATCCTTGTCTAGAATGGGAAACGACATAATTTGTCACAAAACAAATGTAAAAGTCATAGTATATATTACTGGCCGGCCATTAACAGGAAAGTTTTGATTTTATAGAGTGCTTCGATAGGGATGATATGACTTCTTCTTTACATTGCGGCCATATTTTAAATATCAAAATTGTTCTATCTCTCTTAGTTGGGTTCAGTAATATTTGCACTTCTATCATGGAAAGATATATTGGCTCAACAACTTTTGAAAATTATCGAAACTTTGTTTTAAGAAAATCGTTCTTAGGTTGGTTGTTACACTCCAAATAATTTTTTAAGAAAATTGTCTTCTCAGATGAGGCCCACTGTTATTACAGTTCTTTAATGAATAAAAAAAAATTGTCATTTCTCATGTGAAGTCAGTTGTAAAAGTATCTTTTTAGGGTGAGTTGGGACTGACGACATCATCGGTTCTTATTTCTTTGACAGTGAGAATGGAGATCCCGGCATCTATAGAATTATGTTAATAAACCTTTTTGATATAGATTGGACGATAGTGATTTAAATCATTTTTGATTTAAGCAAAATGGGGCTGCGTCCAATTTAATCGTCTATTTATTATGTAAGGAATTTGGCGACGCAGTAATCTCAAAATGTTGCGATATCAAATGATCTTGTAAGAGTTGTGATCTCAATCCTTTAGATTACATGTAGTGGAGTTGTTCGAGTTCGTTGATCTAAAGTAGATCTACGGTTTCTATTCTTGCATTAGAAAAAAACATTAACGCCGCTGCTGGCGAAATTAATCCAGCGGCTTGATTATCGATAGCTAGTACATTTGATCGCTATTTGCATATGTTACTCGATAGTAATTTTACGGTCGAAAGATTTTTCGTTCGATACAAAAACAAATGCATTTTACTTTAACACGCTAAGTCCGTAACCCACAGTTACCGAGCTTACGCTATCGAGTTTACTCGATATTGAGATCTGTAAACCAGATTTAGTGAACACAATGCTCGAAAATTTTGTTCAGCGGGTTCGATTGTATAAGAAAAGTTTTTGCAGCTATTTAAATAATGTTGCATCGAATATACTTCACAAAAAAAATTTATTATTGACGCTCAGTTTAGTGCTTTCTTTCTTCAAAAGTAGTCGTATTACTTGTATTGAAAAATTTTGTATAAGACTTGTAATGCCTACGTGTTTGAATGCAATTGTTGCAAAAGGTATAGAAAGCCGATATATTCAGGAAATATTGATATCAGTGCGACTTACCAGGAAAGGTTGACTATTCTAAACTGAGAGAAAAAAAAAGAAAAAACTAAGGTTTTCCCTCAATATTTTATAAGCGTCATCTACGAGCCTGTTATCTTATTTGCTGGCCTTTAACTAAGCGCTATGGTGTTCATCGAACGTTACAGCAACGAATGTTTTTAAAACAAAACCAGATAACGAGCTTTAAGTTCAGGCGAAAGGAGTAGTAGGTTGGCCCTGTGTTTGATTTGCATGCAGAAATTTGAACTTAACATGTTAGGAAAACGAAACTTATAAGCCTTTCATAGCGCCAGCGTCTAAGGTGGTCATGACGAGTCGCTCCTGCCAAATATCGTTGTGGCGTTTGTTTTTCACTGGGTTATGTTTGACAGGGCGTTATTAAAACCATTTTGCTAAAGCTCCAAATTTGCTCAGGTTGGCATTGTCAAGTCCAAATGTCGAAATGGCGAACGAAATAGAATACTTAACTTTATTTCTCTTTGTGAATACAACAGAAAGTATTTAAAGTCTTGAATCTCTTGTTCGCGGCAAAACTTTAGTCTCTGCAATGTGAGATAAGACATATTTTGTCAAGTAACGTTAGTAGATATGAGCGACGAAGCCCTCATGAATGCGGATTTTATCGGGAACTTAGAGCAGCGATGCCACAAAGTTGACTCTTTGCTAGAGAGTAAGAAAAGCTCATTGCACGATGAGCAGAAGTTTAAGAGTTTCCCGTCTTATAAGTTACTATGAGGATTTGGTTTGTACTTCGTACAATTAAAACTCGCTACTCAAAAAAGATGGCCAACGTATAATTGCAGCGATAGGCTCTATGTATGTGTTTATGTACAGATGATATCATATTGCGGGTCTTTAACGATCCGTCAGGAATGATGAGTGTGTTGGTTTAAAACATTTCGTCTACAGCAGTAACTTGACGCTGCTATTATATATTATTACCAGCACTTGTTTCAGTCTCTCCGTGAGCTCTCCGCACAGCCATTAATTATTTTCCATTAACGCCCTCAGTTTTTTGACTAAAAACCAAAAAAGTATTATAGCGGCGCGTATATGCTGCAGGCGGAAAAGCACTTAATTTAGATAATATGGAGCATTCCAAATCTCATTAGCACCGAAGCAACTCTTTCAAGGCCTTGTAACTACCCTGTTACCAAACCAAGTAGTAGGCGAGCCCTGACTCGGTCTGCGTAGTTAATTGTAATGTTCTATCAGCTTTTATATTTTGAAACTACTTGATAGTCTTTCTATTAAAGATTTTTAAACTTTTGAACTCCTTGATAGCCTTTGTGGCGGGAAACCACTTTACCGCACGTAAATTTCTAATCTGGGTTTTCCCATTTTTATCGTTACATTCTCCTTCTCTTTTAAAGAAAAATAAAGAATTGTGAAAATTTTTGTAGATTTATTTTATATTATAGAAAAGTAGACAGAGAGACGGACATGTCTTGGAATTCAGAACGTAGAGTTTTTATTAATTTTAGGTAATTTAAAAATAGAAGGATCACAGCCCGTTTGAAAGTTAGAAGCAAATATGGAGAAGTACATTTTTTTTAGGGCAAGCTTCGTCTAGTTTGCACCGGTTCCATTCCGCTTGAACAAATGCTACAGAGAAAGGCGAAAAATTGATGAAAAGAAGTCTAAAGATATTATACCTTCTATAGAAAGGAATATTGCAACTTGATGTTGGCCACGATAATAGCTAGAGGTGTTAGGAAAACCTCGCTGCTACCAGAGGTGCTATAGGGGATGTAGGGGGGTTAATCTATCCCGGTGCGATAAGCGTGTGCTCTCCCAACCGGCATGCCGTCGAGTACCGTGGGATTAAGCAGGAATCCGCATTAAATTGGTAGAGATTTCTTATATATATAAAAAGATTGCATCAACTTGAAGTTCAAAGAAAGAAAGTAAACAATGAAATCATTTACTTTTATTAATATTAAATTGTTATCCTATCATGTAAACATAAGTTAGGATTATTTTGAATTTTTTTCTTTTTTGTGTAATTGATGAAGTTTTGTTTTGTTTGCAAATTCAGACGCATGTTCCCCACAGTGCGTGTTAGTTTTTCAGGGCCGCTACGACAAATACAACCTGCCGATCGTTATGCTGTGCTACTCGATATCATACCAATGGATTCGAAACGTTATCGTTATGCTTATCATAGATCAGCTTGGCTTGTGGCCGGCAAAGCTGATCCGGCGCCGCCTGCCCGTCTCTATGCCCATCCGGATAGCCCGTTCAGCTGTGAAGCTTTGCGCAAACAAGTCATTTCATTCGAAAAAGTGAAGTTGACTAATAATGAAATGGATAAAAACGGACAGGTAAGCAAAAGTTATTGTTCATAGTCAGTTAGTTTTTTTTTCTTTTGTTTTTTTTTTTTTTCATTTTTTCATTTTTTATCCAATTCACACTCACAGCCGTGCTGGGCCTGTTAAAGGCCATAAGTAAGCAAAGGCATGCATGTTCGCCAAGGCTTTTGTCGTATGATTGATATTTGTTTTAAACTTTAACTTACAAGAAAATTAATATTTTCATGTGTGTTGCCCGATAGTAATCTTAGACAAAGTTTGCGACGAATGCGAAAAAGCAACAAAAAAAATGTTATTGCAAAAGAAAAAAAAAACAAAAACAAAAAGAGAAGAAAAAATTAATACTCTTCAGTTCGTAAGAATGAATTGTTAAACACTTTTTTCTTTCGCTTTTCGAAAGGCTTTTGGAAATTTGTCTTCTGTTCATATCTACATATGTTTTAATGTCTACCATGCATTCGTACTTGCATATATGTATACATATATATATATAAAATGTTTGGTGTTCGTTTGCACACGCAACCTTTAAATTCACAGTTGTATGCACATTTTCATTTTTTCGTTATGCTTACGTTTCTATTTACTCTCCTACCGGGAGAGTTATAAGCACATGCAAGTTTTTTCTTTTTAACGATAATTTCGTTGGTGGTGGTCGCCATAGACGGAGTAAAGTTTCCTCGTTTCGTTTTCTCTGCTTATAATAATAAAACTTGTTTTTCATTCATATCGCAAAAAATTCTCCCCGTTTTCTATATTTTCTATTGTACGCACACAAACGCATATGACAAGTACCTTTGAAATGCGCATGTCCACTACCTTTTACTGTTTATCTTGGCTTTATTTGACAATTTTTTGCATGCCTTTGTCTACTTTGTCTACTGCTAGTGCTCCACCATTTTGTGTTAACTGTCAACGCAAAGTAATCATTTTTCATTTTCCGTTGTCTGGATTTTCTTTTCGTTTTTTGCTTTTGTTTTCTAGATTGTTTTAAACTCAATGCATCGCTATCAACCTCGCATACACTTGGTAAGACTTAGTCATGGTCAGAGTATACCCGCCAATCCGAGAGAATTGCAAGAATTGGATCACAAAACGTATGTGTTTTCCGAAACAGTATTTACCGCAGTGACCGCCTATCAAAATCAGCTGATAACTAAACTGAAAATCGATTCAAATCCATTTGCCAAAGGTTTCCGCGATTCGTCACGTTTAACCGATTTCGATCGTGATCCTATGGAAGCTTTATTGCTGGAGCAACAGTTGCGTTCGCCATTGCGTCTGTTTCCCGATCCATTAATGCAACAATTTGCCGCTCAACAGGCAAGCGATCCTACCTCGATGGCACTATTTGAAAAGGCGCGACAGCACTTGCAAATGTTTGGCGGAAATTCACCGTACGCTCAACTTATGATACCACAAATGTATGCCCAGCAGCCACCACCACCTACCGGTCTCGGCGCCTTTCATATGGCATTTCAACAGCAATGGCCTCAGCTAACAGCCGGCTTCTTGGCAAGTGCTAATCAGCAAGCGGCTGCTGCTCAAGCAGCTGCGTTAGCTCAGGCCCAAGCGGCCCAAGCCAATCGTACACCACCACCACCTCCTACCGTCTCAACGCCATCGTCCACTTCTTCCGGTTCACCCTCACCTGATATGAGATCACGCCAATATCAACGTTTTAGTCCGTATCAAGTTACTACACAGCAACAACAACAACAACAAGCACAACCAACATCACACAGCGCGCAACAGCAACAGCAACAGCAACAGCAACGACAACAACAAATATCTCCTGCGCCCAGAAGTCCAAGCAATAATTGAAAAAATGTTACTTAAAAGTCTAAGGAATCCTCACATTTAAACCCCAACAACCTTACTCATGTCTCGGGGCCACACCTTGCCAAAACCAGTATTAGAAAAATTATAAGTATTTTACACAACAGCAACAAAAAATAAAATAAAAAAACAAAATAAAATAACAAACTAAATTAACTTAAATTACAAAGCTATACGTTAGAGATTTCATTGTGTTAAGTGTTTTTGTAAAAATTGTCTATGAAGCGAAAAAAATGTTATTGGTTTTAAAATCGCATGCGATTTCTTTAACATCGTAGAGCATATCTGCAGTGTTTAGAGTTTTTTTATGTTTTACTTTTAGTTGCTATAAAACTTTTATTGTTTTTTCTTTTCTTGTTTTTGAATTTTTTTTTTGTTTTCGAAATTTGGTTAATAATAGCTTTCGTCTATTGTACAAATTATGTGTTATTAGGTTTGTGATACTCACCAGCAATACGGAATGGCTCGTGGATACCGTACAGTACACGTATGTGTTTGTATACGAGATCAACAACAGTGAATGACTGTACGTGCATGGGAGAGCAAGTTAAACTTTGTAATTGGGTAGGAGGGTAGGTTCGTCGGTCCGTCCGTTCGCTACGTATGTGCAATACTTTGAAGATTTCAAGGATTATAAGTTAAAAGAAAGGGAGATGATTCCAATAACCTCTCTTCTCGCACTATTCACTTGTTTATCTGTCAATTTTACCATCTTTCTGTAAATGGAAATTCCGTCCCATCAATTTCATCATAAGCTCGGAGGATTGCATGCTCTTATGTATGTGTGGCAACGCAACAGCCTAAGACTCCGCATTAGTTGTCTTGGTCTGCTTATCCGTAAACTGAGTGCTCATCCCTCCTTCCGTCCGTCCATCTATCTCTTTATCTGGAATTGTACGAAATCAATTAAAACATAACCTCACAATTGTGATAATTTCGAAAGCTTTTAACTTCTCGTTTACTAATCTTAGTTTAAAAATCGTTTTAAAAATGAAGCAAATCTTACGACTGTGACTGAAGAAGAAAGAGTTGACACTGTCAAAAATTTGCATAATGTGGTGGGTTTCACTTGATTCGCTTCAACGCGAAGTTAAAATCTTAATTGTTTTCTTTTTAAATTGAAATTGTTAAATAAAAAAAAAAAAAATTTATTATATAAAAAAGTTTGTACATATAACTAAAATATTTCTTTACTCTTCGAAAATAATAAACTAAAACGAATTTAGTGAAATTTTGTATAAATGTTTTATAAATGTATGTAAAAATTTCAAAAAAAAAAAAGCTAATTTATATCAGCTTCATCATGAATCTTTTGCAAAAAATCTTACAACAAAAAAAAAGAAATATTAAATCAAAAATCAAATCTAAACAATAAACACATTGCTGTTAATCTTTGGAATAATTGCAATTTTTGGAAATCGCTTAACATAAAAAAAAAAAACGAAAGAAATTTAATGTTCAACTATTTTCGGCTTAATAATAATTTATATTATTTATTAAAATAAAATAAAAAAAGAAATATCATAAAATTTAGAAAAAAATAAAAAATAAAAGAAACACAAATTAAATTTAAAATCAAAAAAATTTAAATAAAATCACATGAAATGTAAAAATTTTAAAAAGAAAAAAAAAAAAAATTTTGGGAGATTTGAGAATACAATTTTTCTAGATTTCCATTCAAAACGGTTCCCATCATACGTTTTATACATAAAGGATACATGCGTTGGTGAAGAGATACGCTTCACACCGTCAGCATCCTGTACGCAGCACTCGCTTTCGTTATGCCTTTCAGCGGAAAACATGGTTTACAAGTGTCAATTTCATACAACATAAGTCCAAGGGAAAATTGTCTGAACAACAGGCAAAATACCACCACCACCACCACCACCACCATCATCAGCACCGTCACCGTCTTCATCACCATTACCAGCACGCTATTATTACATGAATAAAAGTGCAGGAAAAAACTTGTTTCAGAATTTAATAATACACTTTTGTGGCATTACAACAAAAATTTACCCTGTTTTTTTTTTTTTTTGGTTTTCCTCTTTTCTTTTATTTCACTTTCTGTTTATAAACGCGCAACACTTATGCATAACTACGTTGTTTTCTTCTATATATGACTTTCAAGTTGTTCAGTATTCGTGGATACTTGTGGATGCAAAAATACAGCAAACACTTGAACAGAAAACTATCAGTCTTCTGAACATACGTACATACAAGCCTAACAGCAACAATTTACACATACATAGGCATAATCATGCTTAAAACAACAAAACTGTTCCATTGTATGCATTTCATGTTTTTAAAAATATTCTGTGTTTGGGGAACGAATTTATTTTCATGGTCACTCACAAAGTGAAATTGAAATATCGTTACGATAATGAAGCGTATCATCTCGGTACATGATACAAACATTGTTTTACAAAAAAGAAAAAAGAAAAAAAAAAAACATGGCAAGACCAACCAGCCAACCAGTCATCCATCCAGTCAAGTCGACACTTTTGTTTCGTGCATATTCTATTAGGGGAATAGATTAAACAACTATGACTACGACTATGACTACTCTCTTTTCAAATTCACGCTAATCAAAAAGTTTTAGTTACATAGAAATCAAAATTTTTACGATGTGTTGATGGATGATTATACGTATATACAGTACTTTTCATTTAATAGCTTCAATTTTAGCAAAAGCAAAAGACCAGCAAGTTCAGTTTTGACTAAGAGTCAAAATTATTTGAAAAAATTCAATATATATTTATTTATAGTATAAGCTAAGCGTATGCAACAATTAGAACGACTTGATGAGGTAGATGTTATATGAATCGATTACGGATCATTTTCTGATTCAATTTCTAAATCAATCGATATTATGTGAAAAATGGTTTCTAAATTGATTCAAGTTTGCCTGTCTGTCCATCCATGCATTTCTGCGTTCAAGGTATAAGTTGCCCTTTTCGAAATATTTTGATAGCATCTCATTCAGTGAACTCTCTCGGCCGTATTATGTTGAAAACGAATTGGATCGAGACGCTTTTACAGCCACTTCCAATATAAGCATATTTGAAACAAGGCAGTACGGAGTGGCCACCTTTAACGGTTTAACTTGTTCCATTTTAATTACTATACTTGTTTAGATAAAATTGTAGGCTTTTGCTGAAATCATTCCGGAGTCATCACATTTTGCCTTCTTTTTCGCCGGATATGATTTGTAATTCATCTATTCATCACCATCATCATCATTTCTTATTGCCCTCTAAGAGGAGAAACCACTTAAAGGAATCATTGATTGAATCACAAAAAAAGGTAATATCTGAGGAGGATGGTGACTCCAGCCGCCCATTTCTGTTCAGTGTTTTTAAGGTTTCCTTGCAGAATTTTAAAATGTATAGCTTAACTGCTCCTGTTTTTATACCCTACACTACTTGTGGTACAGCGTATATTAAATTAGTGCGGTCGTATGTAAAACGCAGAAACCGATCAATTCAGATTATGATTCTGAGCCTTTTCTGTTCAAACTCCAGATCGCATTTTTTGAGATATTTTAATGAAATTTAACATGGTGACGTGTTTTCGCTCAAGGAAAAACGCTATTGAAAATGGTTCCGATTGTTCCACTTTTTTGGCCACTCCCTATATAACGCCTTAATCCGAAAAATTCCAATTTTCAAAATTTCTCGGCAAAAGTCGCTAGGTAGTAATATTTTGGTATACTAAAGTAGTATGAAAACTTTGGATCGGCTGGAGCATTTTTTCAACTCCCTCTTATATAGCGAAAACTAAAGTTCGTGTGTTGAATGTAGTAATCCGTGATAAGTAGTCCATAATAAACCAAATTATGTACAAAACTACGAATCCGAGTAAGTTATATTGAGAGTACTGTCAACATGTATTTTACTTCACGCTACATCATAACCAAATAGTTTTCAAGCAGTAACGAAAAACGTATTTGAATAAAAAGTACGTGTAAAAAATTTTTACATAATTTTTTAATAGAAATATTAGAAAGTTTTTCTTTCCATAATTAATAAAGAAATTTTATTCAGCATAAGGCGAAATGAAAATAAATATGATTTACCACGAACGCGCATGCCCGGCCTGAAAATAACTAAGTCTTGTAAGGTTAAACAGAAACTCTCAGCAGAGGTTTTGTTTTTGTAGAAATCTTGGATATCTACTATTTAAGGTAAGTACATTAATTATACATATTTATATGCAAATATTAGCTGAAGAGCACCGATCTGACTTCTTTTTAAATATGCTACAATTACAAGACTCCTGATCATGTCAAACTGAAAGTTTACACTTCGTAAAGTTAGTAAGTAATTAATGAATGTATTATAGCGCTTTCGACTCTTCCTTTTAAAACTGATTTATGCCCTTTGCCATTGTTGTGCTTGATGTCAACTTAACGTGGATGCTACATTCTTAAAGATTTATCTCAAATTGAAGTAGGAGATCATAGGGTCCGCTTTAGTTTTCAAATATATATTGCAGATCTTAGGAATTCAGAGTTCCAAAAAGTCTTGTCGACAATCATATTTCCATCAAATGGTTTTTAGTTCCATAAGTACCGGTTCCTTTCAAATTTAAGGGCTTATCAAATTAAAACAATACACAGCTTTATTTACATAACAACGACTTTCTCTCTTCTCCCCAAAGGAGATTGTGATCGTAGACGTGGTCCGATGCAATCCATTTTTAAAAAGCCTCTGTGGTAAAGTTCATGAAATTTCAACAACATATCTCGAAAATGATTATCTGTAAATTGAACTCAATAACAGATGGAGAGACATCAAATGGATACTCGAGCTTAACTCACGACGGCTCTTTGAATTTTGTTCTTAGATGTAATAATAATCAAGAACGTATTGCATATTGCAAGCAGATGGCTTGCATGTTGTATGCTTCCGTGGAGCTTCCTCGCATATGAAAATGAATGTAAACTGCAAGCCGTTTTAATGTAAGCAATACTAACAAATAAAGTGTTAATTAGTTCCATGATTCTGTCATTAACAGTTTAAGAGTCACATTCTGGTATGCTTTGTTCTAAAAACAAGTTATATGATTAGGAATCGCTTGAGAAAATTGATCCTACTGGATTTTGCAAACATCGGCGCATAAACCTACTAACCTCATCACAATTGGTATAGAGTACAGTTATTTGCCAAAGAGAGTAAGAAAAAGAAAGGGATGGACAGAGAGAGAGAGAGAGAGAGAAGTTAGCTCAACAAATTATTATTATAAAATAGTCTTCACTAAGGTGGTCATCATTACTTCAAAGTCATCGCGTGCTAGTCTGCAAGGCAATGCCCTAACGACTAGAAATTCCTCCGATTGAAATGTTTTCAACACATCAGTCATTCAACTGCCAAAGATAGATAAACTTTACTTATTTTTGATGGATATAAAAAATTTTAATTAATTAAGCATTGTCATAATTGTGAAACGAAAAAATCAAAAAATCATTAATTGCATCTCCATACAATTGACGAAAGAGTAAGAAATTAAGCAGAGGACTTCCGCTTAGTTAATATCACTGCTTAGTTGATTGATTGCAAAAGTGCATGCCTTGCATATGTTAGGTTTTCCTTTTTTTTTTTTTTTTGTTCTTGTTGAGTAATTATTTAAGCAGGCATCACAGATCGAACCTTTTTGACATAATTTATGTTTAAATTAAGGTAAATTTTGCGAATATGTTGAACGTAAAAAAATTGCTTCACATTAATTTATTGATTATAAAGAAGAAAGAAGGGTTGATTTCTTCTTCTTCTGCATTTTTTTTTTTGTTTTTTTTTTTTTTTTTTTGTTTTCTCATAAACGCTCTTAATGAGTGTCATCAGTCAACTATTGCTGAGGCAAAATAATTAAAAATTAAGTGGAAACATTGCAACCATTAAATAAGCAGCGATAAGCAAATTAAGAAATAATTCAATAAGTTTGTGATCACTCCTCCTTGCTTATGTGCTTAAGTTCGTCGCACGATTATATCTATTACGGCTTGTGACTTGTGTATACATTTGTTTAACACTTAAGTTAATTAGTTTTATACCCCAGACGGAAATCAATAAGAATAACAACCTATTATAACCACCACTACCATCATCATCATCATCATCATTGCCAATATCTTGAAATTGCAAAACAACAACATTGCAAAATACAAACAACAAACAAACACTTGATTATTTGCTTCATACCATAATTGTTTGTCAATATTTACGATCACGTAGTTTTGCACCTTTTATGACCGTCTAAACGTTATTATCTTGCAGAAGATGTGAAGTAAAAGACAACAACAAGAACAAGAAAAAACATACAACTCATGCTTGAATAATGATGTTTTTACCGCTAACTGGTCAACTGCACGGCCACTGACATACACGCTTATATAATGCAATGAATGAATAAATTGAGAAAACTCATAATTAAATCATACGATACGACTTGCAAAAAAAGAAAAAAAAAAAGATAAAAAGGAAGGACAGAAGAAAAAACTTCCTAAACTTTTAACACCGCACGTGTTGATCACACTTGTGCGGTTATGCTAAGAAGAAAAAAAAATCAACATTAAACATTAAAAATCATTGATCTCGACAGTCGAGTGGAAATTAAGCATAAACCCAGAATCATCTTCAGATTAAACGAAAAAAAAGGAAAAAGAAAAAATCAAAAGGTAGGTGCGTTAATGACTATAGTGAAAGAGAGGTAAGTAAATAAGTGATTAAATGACGATTGGCGTATACATATATATATATATATATATATATATATATATGTATATATGGGTATATATATCCATTCAGTATTCAGCATTCAGGCATAAGCATATTACAAGAACAACGATAGCAAAGTGTCAACCCTGATTGTCACATTACACAGCAAGTTTATCCGCGTTAAACCTGCTCATCACGCCTTAGCGGTTAATGATGATGTTGACCATTTTCATGGATATGTACATGTACAAACGTACAAGCACTTGCCATTTGGAAAATGTTTCTTTATATCATACAAAGCACAAAACACACACGCGTTACAACGCAAACGTTAATATTTTCAAAACTTATATCATTCCCGAGCAGTGTAAATTGTACGTAAGCACACATCATCATGATATCATGCGGTAAAAGTAAAGTAAAGTAAAGACAAAACACATTGATTATTCTTACAAATATTTTTATGTACATATACATATGTAGGTACGTAGTATGTACATGCAATTATGTTCATTGCATATGTATAAGCAATTGCACGTTTAGCGCCACTGATTATGAGTTAAAGTGAAAATTTGCAGAAATTAATCGTTTTAGTCTTGACGATTGTTGTGTGCGGCGAGTTTTTTCTCTGTTTTTTTTTTTTTTTTTAATTCATTTTTTTACACAATAGAAACGTGATTCGTGGAATTTCATCTTCATTACAAGACGTGAAATGGCGAACTGCCGCTTAAAGCAAACAGTACGTAGTACCAAACACGCAAGTGAAGAGTCAAAGGAAAGAACTCATTACTTTTTGTACTAATTATCTATAAAAGACTTATTCGAATTTTTCGCATTTATTTATAAGACTTTGCGAAGGGTTTTTGAAGAATTACAGAACGTTATTTATTAACATTCTGCACTTATTAAACTTGAGAGTTGGTCCATATGCACAGATTTACTTTATTTTTGAACTGAAGGTGAGCAAGACATCGAAGAATATCTGAATATATATTTAAATGTTTGTATGTAAAATTTGCCAGTGCTCTATAAATTCGCACAGCAATTGCCTTATTGCTATTGGCAAACTTTCAGTACTTACTTGGAAACTGCTCATGTAATCCAAATTTTTCAAGAAGAACTTCTTTGGAATATAAATAAATAAATAAATAAATAAATAATTGTTTGTATTAATTCATATCATTTGCAAAGGAGCAGGTATTTCTAAAAAAAAAAAAAAAAAGCTATTTATCGTGCTGCCTTAAACCCATTTGGATGGATGGATCTAATTTATTCCAGCTGAAAATTGAAACGAAGACCTTTTCTCATAAGTAATTTTAAGGAAGAAAATCGAAATCTTTTTGCGATTATACTTATATAAATCGCGTGACAAGGAGATATATTGGAAATGAAATGAAATGAAACTGATCCGCTTCTTTCTTTATCTTCGTTTATGAGAGTACATGACCTCGCATCTAAACGTTATAGCTTTCTTCAAGCAAAAATAAGTGAAAATACTGCCGTAGGACATGACCCTCAATTAAATACACTACGCCATCCTGTAGTAATGCATACAACAACTTTTCAAAATAAAATGCATTATGGGAAGTATTCGAAAAAGTGCTCTGAACCGAATTGTGTTCAAAAGCATTTGTCCTTGAGCCAAAACATGTCGGCGTACAAAATTTCATCAAAATATTTCAAAAACTTCGACTTGTAGGTTGAACACAAGGAAACAAGACGGACAGCGGGATAAACTGGCTCGATATAAAAAAAAGGTAGGTCTGTTTCAAGCCCTCTCATACATCCATACAAAATTCATAAGTGTTGTAGGGTATAAAAATGCCGAAGTTCTTGCAAGGCATTCAGGAAGCATTCGTCGTACACGAACATTAAGTTGCTTCAGAGACAAGAAGACAAACGTTTCCAGCGGTTGCTAAACAGAAATAGATAGTTTAATGGATTTCCAATCACTTGGGTTGCCCCTAAATGTCGCTTGTGTTCTTGTAACGATATTGAAATGTGGGTCACTTCGTAGACAGCGGCAGACAACATTTTAAATGATTAATTATTTTTAAAATAAAAATATTCTTTCTACACAAAAACTCTTTCGTAAATAGCTCGCTTAGTATCAACCACTTTTATAGATACCTTCGTAACTAATTTTTTTAATGAAAACAAGCTAAACGTTTTAAGAGATCAGCGAGCAAGAACGAGGCTTTAATAGCTCGCGGTCTTTCTAATGGAACATTGGGCAGTCTCCGATCTTTTTAATGCAAAATTTGGGCGCATAGACCGTATTTCTTGTTATATGTAAGGAGTGCAGGAAAGTTTCTGGCTTTAGTTCTATTGAGGATATCATCTTTCTAAATCCGTGGCATACACTGCTCTTTCCCGTTTGAATTTCGCTTGCAAGTAAAGCGACAACGTTAACAAGCAGGCAATACCAATGGAATGGCATGCTGAAGTCAATAAAGCAAGCACTAAACAGATCAGACTCTGTTGAAAGTTTATCAAAATATAAAACAAAAAAAAACCAAATATAATAATATACTTCACTCTGAGGTTTAACAATATTTTCCTACAATATATGTACATTGCCTTAGTCTTTCGTTCCGGTATCTATTTTACTCACTTTTTCTTATTCAATTACTTTGATTATTATGAAAATTTGATTAACTTAAACAAAAGTTCAACTAGAAATTCATCATCATCATCATCATCATCATCATAATCGTCATCTGTTATTGTGTCATAATAATAACCAGTTTTTATATATGTATGACGGATATATTTATATATGATTGTTTCACTTTAAGGAAATTCCCAAATTGTTGTCAATTTCAATAAATTTCATAGAACAAAATGCACACAATCAGGTTTTCATTGACCACAACATCTACCTTGCTATAGTTTATCTTTGTTCAGTCAGTGAGTCAGTCAGTCAATCATTTATTTAGTATCCTGCCTAAATTATTCAATAATATTTCATGTATAATAATCTATATAAGAATACTTCATTACATACACACACACACACACACACACACACACACACACACACATGTACATATATAATAAAATTATAACCAAGTTATCATAAAATTTTGACACAATGAACGGCAACGAGAGCCACAATAAAGTTTTGACCATCAATCTTTCATTTGAAGCAAAAAGAAAAAAAAAAAAAAAGGAAGGAACGAAAAAGAACAAAATAGTGTTTATAAATCTTTTCCATGGGCGAAGGGCGTTGCTAAACACAAAACAATATACAAAATATTCTAAGGAATTGATTAAAACGCCTACAATTTTTTTTTTTGTTTTTTTTTGTTTTAGTGAATGTATGGGATTTCGGTGGAATGGAGTGTTAAGACCGCTAATATAGAAGGAGAAATAATTGAGAGAACATAAAGGAATGGAAAGAAATAAATTGATTGCTTAAATCACTGCATTTAAAGGCAATTTAACCGGCAGCTAAATGTAAACAAGTAACGAATTTCGTATTCAAAAGAATATTAATTTTATTTTAATGCATAGAATGCTTTACTTGCGTTCACAACTGTGAGATTTTAAGTCGCCTTAACTACATATTCCCCTTCTATTAAACAATTCCATTGCAATAATGTCCCCAAAAGCTTACTTATATAACATGTCAATAAAGAAAAAACGAATAAAAACATTGAAAAGTTTAAATAGATGCAGATCAAAAGAAAGAGAGGCACATAACTTAAAGTATTTCGAACCCTCTTTTGCAAATAAGTAAACAAAACTATGCATACGGGAAGGGTTTGTACAGCTTTCTGTAGCAATTTCGTCTCTTTATATAGGGTTTCTCGTTATTCTGTTCAAAACAAAAAATAATTTACGCTGACAACTGCAACATAAGTTGATAAGTGAAATATCTTACTGCATATATCACAGATACTTTAATTAGAGTAACTTTCTCAGGGTTCAGGCAACACACTTTTTGTTCTAGTCAGCGCACTGGATAATCTGTTGCTGATTTGCTAAATTTAAGGAGAAAAAAAAGTAGTCACCAACCAATTTTGATTATTCAAAACAAATCCAGGCGAAATGCGTGTTTTCCTAATGCCATGCTCCCTAATGATCTTCCTTTTGTGCTAATAAACACATTAATAAGAAATTCTTCTGGGTTTGGAGATCAAAAATGACCACATTGTTCATGAACATTGACTTCACATATAGAATATGCCTGTTCGATGCACCTTAGTGGTCGCAAAGAGATTTTTGCAAGGAACTGCAAATCGAAATTTAGTGATTTGATTTGACCCATAACCCATCAGATGGACAAATGAATGGACATGCGTCAACTGAGTCAGAAAATGATTTGGACCGTAAAAACTGGCACGACCTCAAGTCCTTCTGCAAGTTCCATACATCCGCGCTTACTTAATACAATCATATTTAAGCCAGTGTGGAGTAAAATGACAGTAAGAGCTTACCTGCACCTACCTACAATATGTTTAAGATCCAGGCACAATACAAATCTAGGTTTTGAACGACTGAGTCGATTACTTTCAAGTAACTATGAATTCTTTAAGATAAACACTTACAAGATTTCTGAATAAGGTATGTGTGATTATATCAATCATTCTAAAAGGAAATTTAATGTCGTTACTACTTTCTTTTAAGCTAGGTAGCAATAAATCTGCATATATATATATCTGCATATATATATATAGTTGCGATGACATAACTCAATGAACGTTAGGCATTAATTTAATCCGAAGTACTCTTACTAACACACCGAAAAAATACCGTTCATATATCCATCGTTAAAGAGAATATAAAGACATCAAGCAAAAGAAGCCATAGATTATTAACTAAAGAGCTTAAGTTGCCTTTAATTTATATTTGTTTTAATATCATTAATTGTCGGTTTTGGTCTTTTCTGGCACTATTGGCGACTTTAGTTTTCATTAAATGAACGGCGTTATGTGTGCGCTTCTTGTGAATGCGATTTAATGGAAATTTGTCATTTTGTTATTTTGC